GCTTGGTTGTGTGGTTAAATAAACCTGCTTTCTCGAGTAATCATTAACTTATCGGAGTTTCCCATATTTTTGTATTTATAATCCCCTAGTGGGATTAACTATTTAATCACCTATTTTGCCCCTTCATCTTGTCCCTTTCAAACCCAATTGCATTACTTGGGAGAAGAAAAGCTAGCTGCCATCATTTATTTATTAACTCATTGAACATAAAGTTAGTGAAGCATTGATAGCATCAGCAGTTCCCAAAGGGTGGTTTCCATGTGAATCGCCTGGGCAAGTAAATACAGTAACCACGCCAGGGCAGCCAGCTCTGGTAAGGCCTAATTATTTTCATTCAGTGAACTTCTGTGTGTGTGTGCGTGTGTGTGTGTGTGTGTGTCTGTGTGTGTCTTTGTGTTAGTCACTCAGTTGTGTCCAACTCTTTGTGACCCCATGGACTGTAGCATGCCAGGCTCACCCGTCCATGGGATTCCCCAGGCAAGAATACTGGAGTGGGTAGCCATTTCCTTTCCCAAATGGACTTCTAGATGATGCCAATGTTTAGGGTCCATGGGTCACATTTTGAGTAGTAAGTGCTAGCTGGCCAGTCTTTGGAAGGCCAGAGAAAACATAAAAATCAGTAAGACATAGTTCTTAACCTTGAGGTACTCACAAGTCTAACAGAGAAAGACACATGTGACAAATAGGCCCACTGAAATACCAGACTCTTCAGGAAACCCCCAGCCTTCTGGAGTGAGAGGTAGAGAAAACCTCATCAAGGAGGTTTTGGGGCTGAGCTTGAGACAAGAGAAGCTGTCTTCTCAGAGAGAAGCTGGGTGCAGTTCATTCTGGCAAAGCAGCAGGATTAGGGACAGCAAGTTTAAAAGTTAAGGGACAGCAAATGGCATGGAAACCCATTTCACACGCAGTGTTAAAAACAGCATGAATCACAGGAAGGTCTGAATCCATGATCCAGATTAACAATGAGAAAAATATCAGATAAATTCAAAATTCAGGGAGAGTCTACAGAACATCTGACCAGGGCTCCTCAAACTATCAAGATCTTGGAAAAGAAGAAGAGACTGAGATGCTGTCACAGACCAGGGCAGACCAGGGAGGGAGCATGACCGAAGGCAATGTGGTATCTTGGACTAGATTCTGGAGCAGTAAAAAAGGATATTAGTAGTAAAACTAGCGAGTGCCAAGTAATCAACTTTTCCATAGGCCTAAAATTATTTGAAAACTAAATGTTTAATTTAAAAAATGTAATGCTGCATGAACCACATTAATATCAGGAAAAGCAGACTCAGAACAAAGAAAATGACCAGAAATGAATATGGATCCAACACAATGATAATAATGAATTCACCAAGAAGATATAATAATCCTAAAAACAGAGATGCACCTAAAAACATGCTCTAAATACATAAGAGTGAAAATTGATATAAGTGAAAAGAGAAATAAACAAATTCACAATTATACTTGGAAATTTCCACACTCTGGCCTTAGTTCTCACTACAAAAAGGAAACAGAAATTCAGCAAAGATACAAAAGATTTAAAAACACTGTGACAACCTGGGTGGGGTGAGGTGGGAGGTGGGAAGGAGGTTCAAGAAGAAGGGGACATATACCTATGGCTGATTCATGTTGATGTATGGCAGAAACCAACACAATATTGTAAAGCAATTATCCTCCAACTAGGAATAAATCATTAAAAAAATAATTTTAAAAAACACTATAAAATAAAACTTGATTTAATTGAAATATATAAAAACAAATCATTCCACAAAGCAGAATATACATTCTAAAGCACAAGACACATGCGCCAAGATGAAGTATATGCAGTCTCATAAAATTAACACTAACGAATGTAAAAGATTTGAATCACACATATTATGTTTTCTAACAAAGACAGAATTAACCTCATGTCCACTTTAAAAATATTTACAACCTACAAGTTGTGAGTTGTTTTTTATTCAGAGGAAATTTTAGGACTTCAAGCCCAGGAGGCAGCATTTCATGTAACTCTGAGAGAACAGCTCTGAGGAGGCAAGGGGAGAAGCCAGGTTATATAGAAGTTTTGCAATAAGGGGCAGGTAGTCTGAACATCAAAAGATTATTGTTAATTAAAGAAAACCAAATATCCAAGTAAAGGAATTTAGTGGGTGTTTATTTATGAGAAAAAGCAAGAGTCTGGGCTCACTGAAAGCATTCCTTTCACATGCACCTCACATATCTAGGACCAGTATCTTGCTTTCAGGTCCTGAGCTTCCTTTCCTCAGGGCTTACTGTAGGGAGTGGCTGTAGTCTGATGGCTGTTAGATGGCGGGTATCCTTCTTCCTGCATTCCCAAAGGGCTCACCAGCTCAAATTGGTGGTGGCAGTTGCTAAATTGTGTCCAACTCTTATGACCCACAGGGACTGTAGCCTGCCAGGCTCCTCTGTCCATGGGGTTCTCCAGGCAAGAATACTGGAGTAGGTTGCCATTTCTTTCTCCAGGGGATCTTCCTAACCCAGGAATCGAACCCTGGTCTCCTGCATTACAGGCAGATTCTTTACTAGCTGAGCTACGAGGGAAGCCCTATAATCACTGATGACTGTAACATCCTTCTTTACTGATAGTAATTTCTCACTAGAAATCAAAAACAAAAAGAAATCTGGAAAAATTCCCCAAATACAGAGCAACTAAATTACATACTTCTAAATAGTACATGACCAACCTAGACAGCATATTAAAAAGCAGAGACATTACTTTGCCAACAAAGGTCAGTCTAGTCAAAGCTATGGTTTTTCCAGTAGTCATGTATGGATGTGAGAGTTGGCCCATAAAGAAAGTTGAGCTTTTGAATGTGATGTTGGAGATAACTCTTGAGAGTCCCTTGGACTGCAAGGAGATCAAACAAGTCAATCCTAAAAGAAATCAGTCCTGAATATTCATTGGAAGAACTGATGCTGAAGCTCCAATACTTTGGCCACATGATGTGAAGAAATGACTCATTGGAAGAGACCCTGATGCTGGGAAAGACTGAAGGCAGGAGGAGAAGGGGATGACAGGATGAGATGATTGGATGGCATCACTGACTCAATGGACATGAGTTTGAGCAAACTCCAGGAACTGGTGATGGACAGGGAAGCCTGACATGCTGCAGTCCAAGGGGTCGCAGAGAGTCAGACACAACTGAGCAACTGAACTGAACTGAACTGAGCCAAGGGGAGAACACAGCAGACTACTGCCTCAAGAACTGTGCACTGCCCCCCAAGGGGAACTGAGAGACTTTATAGATAGGGCTCTCAGTGGGGAAGAGGAGGTGATAAGGAACAAAGTAATAAGAATCTTGAATAGCCTTCTTCTTGCATTGTTTCCAAACAGTCATAGATGGCATCAGGCAGCCCAGTAATTGTGTCCATTCATCTCTGGTTTATTACACTGCAGCCTTCTTTCTAAAATGCAAAAAGCTACAAGGGGTGGTCTGAAGAGATTGGTAAAGGACAGGACGTAATTAACATAGAGTTAAAGGGTAATCCCTGGTGGCCCAGACAGTAAAGAATCTGCCTGAAACACAGGAGATCTGGGTTTGATCCCAGAGTTGGGAAGATCCCCTGGAGAAGGGCATGGCAACCCACTCTGTATTCTTGCCTGGGAAATCCCATGGACAGAGAAGCCTGGCAGTCTACAGTCCATGGGGTTGCAAAGAGTCGGACATGACTGGGTGACTAACACTTTCACTCTCACACTTTAAAGGATAATAGGTGTGGATATAACTTACATAGTGTCAGGTTAGTTTTGAGGACTATAAATTTAAGTTATAGACTACAGATTAGGAAGAGCTGAAGTAAAAACAAGGAGCGATCAGGCCTATTCACTGTTCTCTTTATCTTCTTTGTTCTCAGGAAAGAAAAGCTCATTCCTGAAAGAAAAACTCATTCTTCTTTCTCCATTTTCACTACAACAGTCCAGGGTCCAATTAATCTGTGTTCAGAGCATGGTGTCGAAACGGAGGTCCAAGGGGACAGTCTCAGACTGGACACTGCCCATGTTGACTGCTCTGATCATTCCTCTGAGGTCCTAAGCCCAAAGCTTTTAAATATACAAGAGAAAAATGCTTTCAATTTAGGAATGAAGGCTTTGTCTACCCACACATGAACAGGCACACACAGGTATACGTGTGTGTGTGTGTGTGTGGTAGGATTTAAAGAATTTGCTAGGTCTCAGGTGATTCTCGGATTATGTTGGTCAAAGTCTTAGGTAAGAACCCAAAATTGCTGTGTATATTGGCCTCAGAGAAAGGACAGATGTTGCAAGAAAGCAAAGCCATGGGCCCAGGGAAGGGAGAGTGCAGTACAGAGCTGGCTGGCCCTCCTGCCTGAGTTGCCATGGAGCATGTTGCAGACAGGTTTATGTATTCTGCACTGGTTTTTTTGTTTGTTTTTTGCTTTGGTTCTAAGGCCATCATATTTTATTACAGGGGTTGCATGCCCCTCCAAAAAATATTTTCTCCTGGGTAGCAGTGAAGCTGATCCTTCCAAAATCTGAATTACGTACACAGTAGATGAGATTTCAGTTTTTCTTTCGCATTTATAATCCCCCAGGCATCAGTTAACTGTATTTCTCCAAATCCCCGGAGAAGGAAATGGCAACCCACTCTAGTACTCTTGCCTGGGAAATCCCATGGACAGAGGAGCCTGGCGGGCTACAGTCCATGGAGTCAGAGAGTCAGACGTGACTTAGTGACTAAAACACTACCACCATCCCTGTCAGGTCACACTCTTTGAGAACGAAGTGAAAATGACTCAATGTTCTGTATCCTGTCTTCATTGGGAAACTCCATTGGTCCCTTCCCCACCCACCCACCTTCAGACCTGGGGTCATGCCCTGCCCCTGATATCCTCTGCTCTGCTCCTGTCAACTCACACCCTTTAATTCCACACCAGCCCCCAGCATGAGGCTTTCTCCTGGGACGTGGGTTTCCCGAATGGGGTGGCCCTGTGGAGGAGACCTACCCCTCACAGCATCATAGACAATGTCAGCTGAACTTCAGCAAGGTGCGGCCAGGGGCTGCCCCCCGACACCTTTCCTGCAGGGCCTCCCTCCCAGCCAGCTCCAGCTTTCTCTGTCCCAGAACCTGGCCATTTCCCTCACAAGAACAACTCACACCCCAGCCTCTCCAGGGTTCATGCTGGGCAGCCTTCCAAAGCCTCGTGTTATTGCCTCCAACTCCCCAGCTCTCTTTTCTACAAAAAAGGTGGGATATAATTGGCATTCACCTTTGCCAAGCCATTTATATTTTACAGACAATAAAGAATCCGCCTGCAATGAAGGAGACACTGTTCATCTCTTGGTGGCGAAGATCCCTTGGAGAAGGGAATGAAAACCCATTCCAGTATTCTTGCTTGGAGAATTCCATGGACAGAGGAGCCTGGTGGACTACAGTCCATGGGGTTGCAAACAGTCAACACAACTGAGTGACTAACACATTAAACACTTCCATTTTACTTCCATCAGGCAATGTGTATCCCCTTGATGAGAACATGTTCTGGTGTTTTGATGATGCTGTGAAGTGTTGAATTGCCATTCCTCACCTCTCCGAGAGAAGCTAATATTCTAAAACAGCACACACCTAGAGAAATGCATTAAGAGGAACAACTATAGGAAATATGCATCACACCTATAATCTCATTTAGACATTCCCCATCACAATAAAACACTAGGGCTTCCCTGGTGGCTCAGAGGATAAAGCATCTGCCTACAATGTGGAGACCCAGGTTCGATCCCTGGGTCGGGAAGATCCCCTGGAGAAGGAAATGGCAACTCACCCCAGTACTCTCGCCTGGAAAATCCCATGGACAGAAAAGCCTGGTGGGCTACAGGGTCGCAAAGAGTCAGACACAACTGAGCGACTTCACTTTCACTTTCTTTCACTTTCATCATAAAAAATAGCCCCAGGGACAGGGTCTTTTCAAATGAGTCAGCTCTTCGCATCAGGTAGCCAAAGTATTGGAGTTTCAGCTTTAACATCAGTCCTTCCAATGAATATCCAGGACTGATTTCCTTTAGGATGGACTGGTTGGATCTCCTTGCAGTCCAAGGGACTCTCAAGAGTCTTCTCCAACACCACAGTTCAAAAGCATCAATTCTTCGGTGCTCAGCTTTCTTCATAGAAAGGTAAAGCTTTCTTTTCTCTGCCTCCACCATAGTTTGGCCTCAGGTAACTAGCAGGGAGGGAACACAGCTCCACCCATCAACAGAAAATTGGATTAAAGATTTACTGAGCATGGCCCTACCCATCAGAAAAAGACCCAGTTTCCTCCTCAGTCTCTCCCATCAGGAAGCTTCCATAAGCCTCTTATCCTTCTCCATCAGAGGGCAGACAGACTGAAGACCACAACCACAGAAAACTAACCAAACTGATCACATGGACCACAGCCTTGTCTAACTCAATGAAACTATGAGCCATGCCTTGTAGGGCCACCCAAGACAGATGGGTCATTGTGGAGAGTTCTGACAAAATGTTGTCCACTGGAGAAGGAAATGGCAAACTACTTGAGTATTCTTGCCTTGGGAACCCCATGAACAATATGAAAAGATGAAAAGATAGAACACTGAAAGATGAACTCCCCAGGTTGGTAGGTGCCCAATATGCTACTGGAGATCAATGGAGAAATAACTTCAGAAAGTTATTAAAATTCTTAATATTCTGTCTTAAAATTCTGTAATTTGGCACAAATGAGTAAACAGGATAGTTTGTGGCTGAATTTTTGTATTTACTCATCAGTCACTTTTATGCAGATTGTCATATCCTCTTATTCATCATCTCCAGATGTTTTCCTTTGTTTGGTTTCTAATGGTTATTCTGAAATTGCTATTACAATTGACCTCTTTCTGCTGATTTTCAGATCATCGATTTTAAAAAAGTCTAGGCAAGTTGCAAGTGTCCCAAACTGAGATGATCTGTTATTTCCAAATTTGTTATTTGGTTTTTTTCTTCCTTTCCTAAGCTTTTCTCAAGGGGTTACATTGTTCCAGATCATTCTAGCATTTGGAATAGAGTTGAGTTACACACTTAACATTCTTCTTTAATTATGAAGTTGAAATAAACATCAGTAGATGCCAGATCCAATTGTTGATGAGGACAAAAGTGCATGGGCCAATGGTGAAAAGAGTGTCAATCTTTCTGAAATAAAAATGATGGATAGTTCACGTTATCACCCTTTGAAAGAAGAACAAGGAGGAAAGCATTTCCATTTTGGCAGCTTCTTTGTTTACAAAAAAGGGAAGGTAGGAGAGGCCTGGGTTCCCACAAGCCCTCACAGTGTTTTGCAACTTCTTTGAAAGGCCACTAGGGAACCAAGGCCTCTGCTCCCCACTGACAATTGATGAGGAGATGGCACACTAGTGCCACAAGAAGACCCCAGAGCTGGTTCTGAGCTCCCTCTGGGGTGCTCCTTGGCAGAAGCACATGGGTGGCTAGGCACCAGAGAAACCTCAATGGTCATCAGACTGACTTTCTTCAACCATCAATCTTATCAAGTCTCTTCTCTAGTTACAGGACTCCCGAGAGTCCCCACGCTCCACAGGTGAGATTCCAGGCCCTCCTATTTCTCCAGTTTCATCCCATCTCAGCCACTGCCCTGCAACCTTGACTTATCCTTGTGTTTTAACACCCATGGCTGCTCTATTGAAATAATTTCCCCTCCCTCGGTCTTCCCACGGAGCTCTATGTGCCTGCCTTCTGGCAGGCTCCCCACTGCTGGATAATCATTATGGGTAGAATTGTGTCTCCTCCCAAATTCATAGGCAAATCCCTAACCTTCAATGTAACTGTATTTGGATAGGGGACTTTTAAGGAAGTAATTAGGGTTCAATGAGGTCAAAAGGGTGGGGCCTTAATACAATAGAACTGGTGTCCTTATAAAAAGAGAGAGAGAGCAGAAAAATGAAACCACCCAATGCATTTTGGGTCTTAGTAGACCACAAATTCTTCTGTCTTGGTGCAGAGAGAATTCAGCAAAAGGCAGAGAGATGGGTAAGGAAAGAGTTTATTAGTACCGGACACTTGTAAGAGATACAAGTTAGCAGGTAAGAGAGTGCCATCCCCTGAAAGCTGGGTGGGCTACATTTTTATAATCAAATAAAATGAGGGAGGGGAAGAAGACCACCTTTTTGCTCATATTTGAGTAGATGTCAAGTTTTTGTCATCAGCTCCTCCTCTGCCTCAGGCAGTGGAGTTTTCTTGTCCCTACATGGTCAAACCAGGACTGTCATAAAGCTATGGAAACGAGCAAAAAGGCGATAACATATACTAAAATACGGTAAATCATCTCAGGTTTCAGTAAAATGTCACCTTTCCCCATATTTCTACTCTTAGTACAAGAAGAAAAGTCCCCTTCTCAAGGATCATTAATTTGTTGACCTCAATGCACAGGATGTAGGCTTCATTCCACCATTGTTTACACTTTGGGCATGTCTCATGCTTCCTTTGCATGGTTTCATTGCCAAGCAAGTCTGCATGGTCTGTTGTTAAGCAAGCCGGCTCTTAATAGATCATTAATCTACAGGAGTCTCCATATTTTTTCTCTATGTACGAACCCCTAGTGAGACTCTAGCCTGGAAAACCCCATAGACAGAGGAGCCTGGTGGGCTGCAGTCCATGGGGTCGTGAAGAGTCGGACACGACTGAGCAACTTCACTTTCACACATTGGAGAAGGAAATGGCAACCCACTCCAGTGTTCTTGCCTGGAGCATCCCAGGGAGGGTGGAGCCTGGTCGGCTGCCATCTATGGGGTCGCACAGAGTCGGACATGACTGAAGCGACTTAGCAGCAGCAGCAGCAGTGAGAATAACTATTTAATCTCCTAAGTTGTCCTTTTACTCTGTCCCTATCACAAACACACAGAGAAAAGGTCTTAAGAGAACATAACAAGAGGACAGCCATCTGCAAGAAAAGAAGTTGTGGAAGAAACCAACCCTGTCAGTACCCTGACCTCAGACTTCCAGCTCTGTGACCCACGAGAAGACCAATGTCTGTTGTTTTAAGCCTGTGGTGCTCTGCGATGGCAGCTAAGTTGTCTGGCTCTCACATCCATGGTGGCCCTTCCTGACCAACATTCCAAATAATTAATAGAGCATTTGATCTTCCATAAGTACTTCTTCCCCAGGATTTCCCAGGTGGCACTAGTGGTAAAGAATCCACCCCAACTGCCAGTGCAGGAAACATAAGAGACCAAGTTCAATCCCTGGGTTGGGAAGATCCCCTGGAGGAGAGCACGGCAACCCACTCCAGTATTCTTGCCTGGAAAATCCCAAGGAGAGAGGAGCCTCATAGGCTTCAGTCCCTGGGGTCACAAAGAGTTACAGAGTAAGCGGCTGAGCACTGGCACTAATCACCTCCTCCCTAGTGACAGAATATACTTGCTATCTTTCTTATAAGTGCCATCAGGCAGGAAAATAAGATCATCCTGTCCCCAGTAAGAAATGAGTTTCCCTTAACACCTGACATCTTAGCTCAGTGCCACGTAAGAACAGAAGTGGATTTAACGGAACGAATGGGTTAGAGGAAACCAGGTTGGTGTGAGGATTCAATAACCATGATGATGTGAAAAAGCACAGTTGGTCATCGAGTGGGTGCTCCATGAATGTAAACGCTACCCCTTGAAGAACACACAACCCACCTTGCCCTCTGAGAGGACACCTATAGAAAGAGAACACATTTATCACTTTGTCCATTTGGTCAACAGATATTAACGAAAGCCCAGTGGGGGCCGGCCTTGTGCAAACTGGAGGGGAACCAGTAAGAAGCAAAGCCAAATCCACCCTCAGGAGTTTACTTTCTTCTGGAGAAAACAGATGACGAACAAGGAGTATAATCAGGGTCTTAGTGACTGATAAGCACTAGACAGGGAAATGAGGTGGAGTTTGGGTGGGGTGATATGGGTGCTAGATTAGTAACATTTATTCCAACATTCACCTGACACCCACCATGTACCAGGGATCATACCGGGTGTTGGGAAAACAAAGATGAACAAACAGCTTCTCTCAGAGGCATGGCCATCGAGGCCGGGGGAACCCCTGCCTGCCTTCCGCAGTTGCACCAGAAGCTCTGGTGGTAACCACCGGGGTCTGTCTGAGACTCCTATTGGTACTCACTGACAACACTGTTGTGTCTGATTTTTTATTTTCCTTTCCCTTTCTTCCTCCACTATTAAATCTTGTTATTGGAATAGCCTCAGACCTTTGTTCTCCATGGACAATGTTCAAGATTAAGACTAGAGAAACTGTGGAAGAACTGTCAATTTCTCCATGAGTCTTTAGAAGTTAAAATAAAGAATTCTCTATATCTAGTGAACACTTCTTTCTTTTATTCTTTTAAA